ACATACATACATACATACATACATACATACATACATACATACATACATACATACATACATACATACATCACAGGGTCACACAGAAATAAACAACTATTCACACTCACCTTGTTCCAATTTAGTCTATGGTTATGGTTATGGTATATGGGGATGGGTGAAACCCATGTGAGTGGGGGCCTCATAAGTGGGCCCATTACTCTCCCCAAAAGAGACACTGAGCTTTTAATCAAACCTTCTGGTCCCTCGGAAGGACACCAGGTTTGAAACACTCAAGTGTTCTGAGCTTCTCAGGATCCATAAAAGGTTCTCCAAGAATTCTTTCCCTTCGACTACTCAGAGCCAGGCATTGGCCCAAGTAGTGCAAAGAGGTCTCTAATTCAATGCCACAGGCATCTTACAGACCATTTTCATGGAGTCTCATCACCATTTTATGGCGATTGAGCAAGTTGTGCCCAGTTAGGACTCCAACCAAAGTTTTCCTTGTCAGGGCAAGAAGGGCTCTTCCAAACCAAGGATTTGGGCCATTTATCAGTTCTCGTGCCTGTCTGCAATCCATCAGCTCCCTCCATCGGACTGAGTGTTGACGTATGATCTGATCCATGCCTGTAGGGCAGTCCTACAGATTGTTGTTGAAATGTCTATAGCAGGCTCTGGTCCTTTAAAGTGGGCTTGACTGCCAGCTTTTGCAAGGTCAGCTCTCTCGTTACCTAGATGCCAGTATGTCCTGGTACCCATTTAATAGTAACACTGTTATCTCTCCCCAGTTGGTTGACTGTGGCACTAGGAGGGAAACTAGAACTGAGCGGAACTGTATAGGACGGCAAAGGCCAGGCTACATGTTGTATATTATTGTAGTTTGTTACTAGTTGTGCTTGTTAGTCACAGATGCTTCTCTTTTGGGCTGATTACCCAACCAGTTTGTGAATGGCATAGATGTTGTTTAACATCTTTAAATAGACTGATTGTTTGTCTGATCTGTAACAAGCTGAAAACGGCATGTAGCCGAAACCCGTCCTGTCCTGACCATTTACTCTTTCCTCTTTTTTGTAAGAAAATTGGAGTTCTGCACACTGTTTTTCTTGTTATGCTGTTATATTTGTACCTTAATGATGTTCTGGCAGGTTGACAGTGAGAGCCCCACCAGACTGGTACCATTAACGGACATGATCTGATCTCCGATGTTCAGTCTGCCGGACCGCTCAGCTGGCCCAGCATGCATTATGTTGGCAATGATTACTGTGGGTAAGATGGAGCCCCACCCACTCTCCATAATGACCACGCCCAAAATCTCCCCTTTAGATTTCTCTATCACCACCTGAGGTTGGAACAGGAGACACGCATAGACAGAAACATCACAGAACATTTAAATAAATAACCTTTATAACAGTGACCTGGGCTGCTGGAGATGAACAGGTGCATTCTGGGTAAAATGAAACAGGTATTGTGACAAAAACCTACCAGCTGCAATGGGAGAACTCAACCTGTTTGACTCAGTTTCTTCTGATTTTGTTCTTGAACTAAACAATATTAAGACTAAAATAGGTTTCTTTGTATGTACAAAAGTAAAACAAAGGTGTTTCTCTGTTTGATTTTTTTCCCACCACGCCCTTCACGATGGACTCTCTGTGAGCGTCAGTTTTAAATGTTTGTAGATTATCATAAATATCTGCTAATATGAATCCTACACATGAGATTATAAGCAAGGTTCTGGGGATTAAGATGGGCCTAGACTCTGGGCCTACCAGCAGGTTAAAGTGGCCCTGGCTGCAGATGGTGGGCCCATGTGGAGGGGACATCCTGACTTGGCTCAGCTAGGCTCAACTACCAGGTGCTCACCAATGAAGAGGTACCCTGATGCATTAGTTGTTGACCCGTTCTTGGTCTGTCCCCTCTGCTGAGACTGATTTGCAATGGGAGACCCTAGCAGGGGTCAGTACCCTAGATAATACAATCCCCAGAATCATGGGGGTACTCAAACCCCTCCCCTGAACACAAGGTGGCAATTTTGTGGAGGGGTACATCAAATGAAAATTCTCAAAATATTTCATGAACTACTCGACAGATTTCACTGTTTTGTTTAAACATCATTGGAATTGGTCTATCAGACAAACAGGGTTGACTCCAATAAGTAATGCCAAGGTTTTAACCAAAGATGCTGTGATGTGCTTTATGATGTGGACAATACTCAGCTGTTACCTAAACACACTGTTGCTTTATATTTAAATTGGCTGATTTTTGACCATTTGTTGTTTTCTGAGGTCCATACAGATGCGTAGACAGATCTATGCTATGAAAAAAAGGACAGTGTTTCCAGACCTAGTCCAACATACAGTAGCTTGTAGCTCTAAAGCTTAAAGGCAACATATCATGAAAAATTCACTTTTTTTTAGCTGTTAAATACATTTTGTTGGGTACTTTTTAGTCTCTGCAGAAAAGTTGGATTTCCCCTGGTACTGCAGAGATATCTTTATACATATTTTGTTCGGATCACATTTTTCAACCCATTCAGTTTTCTTTATTTTCTATGATGTTCTCTGTAATATTATGTCAAATTATTTGAAACGGAAAAGACATATAAGGTCTGGACTTCCCAACTACAATTTGGTGGTCTTCATTCTCCTCTGGTTCTGGGTCAGACTCTGACTCCAACATGTAAGGCTGGATGGACAAGKCTTCTTGTGTTGACATCTTTTAATGCATTTGTAAATAACAAGTTTTAGATAGGCATAAACCCCTCTATAAAACTAGAATGAGCCAGGGCCGGTTCTAGGAATGCATACTTAAGGGGGCAGACAGAAATATTAAGGGGACGTCATGTGTACACATTGTGCTCCATTACATCTGTTGTTGTTGTTATTATTATTGAGTATTTTCTTCATAGGATTGGGTTTTTACTGTCTGCTGTGTCCTACTTCCAAGAGATGGATTGAACTTCCCTAGGATCTGTCCAGCTGGGTGTCCCACCTGAAGACGTTTATTCTGGTGTTGCTCTTAGAGTCACTGATGCATTTACCTTATTGGATAATCATGCACATTTATGCATCTCAGATAAATTAGAACCATAGAGAGCAACATACTTGGCCAATAAAGCTGATTCTGATTATAGGCCTATAAGACACTATATTGAGCTCTGCCTGTCCACCCACTGTTTGCATCTATGACGTCATGGAGAAGCTAAGATGGTGCCTGAAGAGGTCTATGTCTCACACCTGACAAGACTATTGGATTAACAGCAAGCCCAACTACATCTATAAGAATTATTTTTTATTACAATAAATAATTTAATTCATAATTAATGTTAATTTCATACAACAATCATGTAAAACAGCTTTATTTTTTATAAGGAAAACATATTATTTATAACTAATGATGATCTAAAGTTGACCTGAAGTCTGTCAATATTTAATGACTTGATTCCAATCATTTCAAGACTTTTTAGCTAATTGAATAATTATAACTTTAACTAGTGAATTTGTAATATTGCTTATGTAGGCTCTATATTTGCAACTAATTGCAGTGATCAGAATCTCATCTATATAGCTGAGATTAAAAAAATACTTTTCAGAATTTTAGTCTGTGTAAATATTATAAAAAACAGACAAAATACCAGCTTGTAATATTTAATCATTTGTAGTAATCTGTAGCATAAATTATGCTACAGTTTACTACAAATGTCTGTACAAAAACTTATAGTCTGTATCATACTTACTCTGTATGYTACAGAAGCTAATAAATATTAGCTAATATAATAATTAACAATGATTGCACTTTATTAATATTATTTGCTTATTTTAGTTTTAAACAGTTATTATTAGCTTGAGTTCTGGTCAGATCACATCCACATCAAAGTAAATAAGATCAAATCTGTTTACTTGTTTACTTTTCTCTTCTGTGGGTACATTCATAACACACAGCTTCCTGACATTTTTATACATTCTAAAACTTATACACATTCTATTATATTATTATATTAGGCCTACACATTTAATTATTATTTCGATTTTTAGATAGTCAGCCCTTACTCAGAATTCTAGTTCTAATTTACTCTGATTTTCACCTAATAACAAAAACCTAAAAAAAATTGTAATAAAACTTCATATAAAAAAGCCCCCTCTTGCCTCAGCGTAGAGCCGGCCTCATGAGCTGGTATGGAAGCTGAAGTGGGCGGCCTGTGAAGCCCTGAGACACATGTTCAAAGAGGGGCGGGGCTTGTGGAGTTACAATAAGGAGTAATTCAGAGACCAAAGCATTGCAGTTTCACTTTATATAGACCCCAACTGAAGGATTTTAAAATTAAAAAGAAGGATTTAATGTCTCCTTTAATACACACTGTATCTGCATTCAGACACTTTCAAATATATATATAAATTTTATTTTTTGTTCCGCTCTTGGAGGAGTAAGACGCTTTTTCCTTCTCTTCTGCCCTTCCTTATCTTCCCTGCTTTCCTGCTCGGCGCCTTATACGTTTTCATCTGAAATCAGAAATTATGGATGTTTCTATTTTTATGGATTTGGTTAGCTGGTCTCGTAATAAATTTTTGGAACAAAGTTTTTTTTCCACGGGAGGATCACTGGATTCTACAGATTGGCTTGGTGGTCTCCTGGTGTTCTGCAAAACAGCGTTGATGGCTGTTCATTTCTTTAGTTTAGTTTAATAGTTTATTCATTTCAATTAAAAACAAAAATTTCAATTTCCTGGCTGCCTGACCAATATGAAGGATTGCCGTTCTTTCAGCACTCAGACTTTTGCCTTGTGCGAGCTGGACTCATTCTGCAAGCGGTTCTRAAGGTTGTGGGCCGGCTGTGGTCCCTGGACTTTGCTGGCCAGATGGAATTGATCTTGGAGAATGCTGATAAATCAGCTCGACTGAAGTTGCCCATACTATTTGTCTGACTTGGATTCACCACATTGAGAAGTACCAGCGGACATTAAGGCTGATGGAAAATTATTATTGTCTGCATGGCTCTAAACATTCTCTTCTGTTCCCAAATAACTGATTACAGATTTGGCTCTCCTTCATGGCTTTGAGAGCTGTAGACTAAATTCTTCCTGGATGTTTACGTCGACTGTGGGTCTGCCCTCCGCATTTTCCCCCCTCACACCCGTCTGTGATCTGGTTCCTGGAGCAAGCTGAGGGCTGCACAGAATGAACAGTTACCATCAATATTCTGAACTATGGCTGCACTGGTTTTGGGGACTCGATTCTTTGGGCTAATTTTTCAGATATTCACACAAGTGCATACAACACTCATGGCTTCAGACACATGCCCCCCTAAACTCACTTACTCCTCTGGCTAATAAATGTGCTCTATGGAGATGTTTTTTATAAACACCATAGTGTGTCACATTGTTGATATAAAATGATGTTTTGTTTTGTTTTTCCTCATCTTCCCTTGCGTGGTTTTAGTTTTTCTTTTAAGGGTTGCGCCTCCTCATGATGTCTTCATGAAGATGATCCTGCTCTGTGCAGGGTCTGTGGCTGCATGACCCAGAGCACCTGTTCTCCTATGTTTGTTATGTCTTCTTCTGAATGGGTGTTCTGAACTGTAATTTCATTGTGCTCTCATGTACGATTACAATAAAGGTCTCTCTTATCTTATCTTATCTTATCTTATCTTATCTTATCTTATCTTATCTTATCTTATCTTATCTTATCTTATCTTATCTTATCTAACACCATTCTGAACATTAACATGTTATAACAAGATGGTTAGCTCTTTTAAGATCCAGCTCAATGATAACTTTGTCACATGACAGCTCTATGCTTCTGTAGGTCTAGCTGGCTGAGTCTAAGGATTACTGCCTAAATGTGGTTCATGAAATGTTTTGATCAGAGCTCAGTTTAATAATATGCTGGAAATTTTATAAACAGAAATGTGTCCGATCAGTTTTTACTCTGAGTGTTGGTTGGGGATCATCCTTAGCTACTACCACACTAGAGTTTAGCTCAGTATCTGTAACATTTATTAAATTATACAGTTATATACTTGATGAATCCTGGTATTGTTATCTTGGAATATGGCCATGCCATCAGGGAAGAAACATTCCATTGATGGAATAACCTGGTCATTATATTCAGGTAGTCAGCATATTTTGAACACAAACTGTTGATGAACAGGTACATTACATTACATTACATTACATTACATCCAGGTGGACACTTGTTTTTTGATTAAGCCGGGCAGTGTATTTTCATGTTCTGAAGAATTTTAAACAGTATTTTAAAACAAGCCAACAGAGAGTAAAATAACAGTGTCAGAAGCTTTAGTAGGCATTAGTGCTCTTTACGTCATCCTAGTCTTCAGAGGGGTGAAGCCCAGGTTTCTCACAGGATCACAGATTAACAGGATTACCAGTGTCTTCAGATTAGCATAATGAGCACTCTGAGTATTTCTGTCTCATCAATATGAACATAGCAGTTTATCAGTCAGTTTTTAATTCAACCTTCAGTCATTTGTACAATACAATGATTGACTCACTGTCTACTTACTTCTTTGCAGTTCTCAGACTTGGAGAAGTGGAGGAGGTCATCATTATACTTGTCCTGAGTGCTGAGCAGGTCACTGTACTCCTTCTGGCTCAGGTCATCAGGGTTTATACCATTAGCTCGTAAGAACTCCTGGTAAGCCACACTGAAGGCTTGTCCAATGGACTGAGCAATCAGCTGGGCCTTGAGGAAATGACAAATTTACAATTTAGAAAACAATCAAAATATGTACTATTTTACAATCATCCTAAAACAATCCAGATAACAAAAATGACTTGTTGGCTGTAGATAAAAACTGAATATAACTTTTTTGGAAGCAATATCCAATACAGCCTGGTACATACATAGTACTTACCACGTAATTCCAGGGGGATGTWCCTGGTGGTTACAGCTAATCAATAAAAAAATGTTTCAATGGTAAACAAAAAGCTGTTTTGGTATTTGTTTTATTTGTTATTAGACCTAATGACTGAAGGTTATGGGTGTGCTTTCTTGGGTTGAACTTTTGTTTAATTATTTTACAAAAAGTATGTCAAACAAGTASTCTGTTAACCTGAAAAAAACTGCCTCTCAATATCTGAAGGCTGAAAAGGTAGCTTAAAATACTGTTCTTCAGTAAAACACATAATGTACTCTGAGTCTAGACTGCTAACAGTATACAGAATGTTTACAAGTCAGTACTGTTGTGGACATATTAACTGTAAGTGGTTAGGGATTCACTGATGTTGTAATGTGATTGTTGGTTTAGTGTTAGCGGAGCTAAGATTCTGGTTTAGCAGGTTAGTATAGCCTAGTAAAAACCAGACCCTTGTCCTTCACTTTGCTTCGTACGAGGGTCTGGACTCTGCTATAGAGAAGCGATTCCTGCTGGAGGTATGGCCTCTGCTGAAGTGTGTATGTCGCTGTGAAGGAGGCTAAGCTAAGAAGCTAATTGGAAATTGCGTGTGCTGTAAACACACGCGAGAAGAAAAGTACAGAGCCAAACAAGACGACTGTAAATGAGAGCCGCTGCTTTGTCAGACAAATTTATTTTAATTTGGAAGCCTTATCA